TTCAAGAAAAGGAAACGGGAGTCAAGATATTGTAACTAATTATTAATGACTATTTATTTTGTAATTTCATTGCTGTATTTTTCTACTATTATCATTCATTTATTTTTATTTTATTATTTCTTTTATGCAATACCAGTATGTAAGAAGGCAATGCAAATCAATATGGTTGTTGTTGTCTGCATGTACGTACCCTGCTTTGGAACTGTAGTACACTCGGCATTCTGACCGCAGTTTCTATCCCCATCACAAGATGAGCTTGTTGGATCCACAGGGCCACTGGAAGCACACATTTCACTGCCCAAATAAAATCCATACAGCTCTGCACGTAGGCAAATCCAGTTTTCCCATGCCATTGGGTAGATTCTTATCCCACGAACCGGAGCAGCAAACATCAAAGTATGATTTTGTATAGTTGAGCCATCTAGTGTATGAAAGTTCAAAGTACAGTTAGGCCCGGTTTAGACGCCGAACTTTTCATGAGCCGAACCTAATACATTGAATTAAGTACATGAAAATTTCCGCGTCTGAATCAATTAGGTACGCCTGTTTCAATTTGGAACGGCTAAGCCGTTCTTTTTGCCTAGCCCGGCCGGGAATTTCGCCTTTGGAGCGACTTTGGAACTGCTTTGATTCAGACGCCGAAATTTTCATGCACCAAACCTAATGCAGAAATTATTATAACGTATTTTATAAGTCTACCTGGAGTTGCGAAAACCGGTTTAGCAAACATTTTGTAATTTTTCTCAACTTCTCCTGTCTAATAGCTTGTTTACTGTGTTGTTTGCCTATGTTTTTTTTTTTGGCTGGTTTTGTGGTTAGGGATTTTTGTAGAAGTGGATGTAGACAGAATTACTATCTTACCCCCCCTTCCCCTCCCTCCCAATTTTTTTTGTCCCTACCCACAATTCTCTCTTTAATACAAGTGGCAGTTATTTGAAATCAGTGCGCGCTTGAAGCTGGTTTCGGTGCCGTTTAGCAGTTTACTTTTAGATATTGGTCACCTTAAGGAAAGTTTCCCGGACAGCATCATGTAAAGCTCTGAGATGGGACAAAGTTATTACGATTCGCAGCGTCTGCATCGTCCAATATCGTATTTTATTTGTTTCTAAGCTTGCGAGCGAGCGGAATCCTCCAAATCCTGCAATCTGGTTGGTTCCGAGAGCGGGCAGTTTTTTTACGATCTTGCCCGCTAACCCGGGCGGAATCGTTGACAGCTTTATTTACAAGTTTGTTTGTTGTTTGTGAATGAGCAAAACCGGTGACTTTTAACCATTTTTGTTTTAAAACTTGAGCTAACAGTGCATTTTGTTATTCATACAAAACATCTGAAGGGAGAATCAAACAAGTCAGCCAGGAAAACCGCTAAAGTAAAGCAAAACAGGTGGCTTGTGATGTCGCTTCACTAGCTTGATAACCTACGCTGGTGTGAAAACAAAGCTAAGGTGGTCCCCGCCGACCGTGCGACTCTACATTCGGAACTTGAATAAGACGAGTGTAAGAGAAAAGTCCAGAGGTGTTTATTTGCTAATATTTCGCTTATGTTGAACGTGAAGAAGATTATGCTTGGTTGTGGATAGTCTTATCAGTGCCGCGAAAGTGTGTGATTGCAGCATCCTCCCAGGCGCTTCGTTTTTCGCAAGGTAGAGGGGAGCGACTGGTGATGAGCCGCAAGGGACCATGGGAAGGGTACAGACGGAAGGCCAAGCGCCGTCTCGCCCGTTGTCTCCTTCCCGCCTTCCTTTGCGAGCACGAGAGAGACGTCTGGGTACGAGGCAGGTGTGATTGTGTGATTTCCGCATGGTGTTGACAGGTATGTCATGGCGTGGTTGAACTGCGGTTTCGCCAAACTATCCTGTGCCAGCCGTTAATATTGTTTCGTCGGTGTTTAGCTTAGCTGATTGTACCTTAGAAAAGCAACTCTCGACTCAGGAAAATTGGATCTAGGTCTAGTTTCAGCGGGCTCTAATGGCATTGAACCATAGGCCGGTTTTTGCAGATAAGAAGATGATAATTTGTGCACTCTGTTTCATTCAGTTTCATGTCTATTCCATGCGAAATCCTGTTGTTTATCGGAGCGCGAAAAAAGTAGTGTTTTGCCGCTACTTAAGCCTTAACCAGGCACTCTTTCGCTGCAGTTCACTCAACTTCAAAATTTCTAGACTGAAATGACACCGGTTTGAAACTTCGCGAAGTCGGATTACTGAATAAATGTTCTAAAATTTGTGTCATTTTAAAATTGGACCCGTTGGAATGCTTCTTGGGATCATTAACTTACTGCCCGACGTCAGATAAATGCTTTTAATCGGCCTTTGAACGAGTTTTGTTGTTTTAAATTGCCAAGTAGTAGAATGAGTTGATATTTTTGCTAACCCGGTTTTCAAAAATCCAGGTATAAGTAGTTTGACCGAAATGAGCATTTCTCTCCTCTTGAATTTAGTTTGGCTGGAATTAAGATCGGCGTCTGAATCAATTCAGCCGGTCTACATAATTTGGTTCGGCCTTAATTCTAATTAGGTTCGGCTCATGAAAAGTTCGGCGTCTGAACCGGGCCTTAGGCTACGGTAAAACGGACAACAAAAAAGTACAATTTGTTTTGCAACATTGCTTCAAAACGAGTTGAAAAGCGATGTTGCGCGTTTTACTAACCACGAATCAAACCTTTCTAGCAACAAATCAGGTTGTTAAAAGCTGCGTGAATACTGACTTCTGATTGGATAAGATTGCGCGAGAATCACGCTATACACCCGATTTACGTCACATGCTGCAAAACAAGGTTGCCTTGGGCCAGTAAAACGCGCAACATGTATAGATTTTATTGCAAAAAGTAAAAGTACAGGTTTGATTCGTAGGTGGTAAAACGCGCAACATCGCTTTTCAACTCGTTTTGCAGCAACGTTGCAAAACAAGTAGCACGTTTTTGTTGTATCTTATAGCTTTAGTCGGATAAAATAACACTCTGTCAAACAGATCAGGCTTTATCTGAAAACGGCGACGCGGACTACAGTGGAAAGATAGTCATAGGTAAATGAATTTAACGGTTCACTGTACGTTGAAAAAAGGCTACCCCCCCAAAAAAATATTTTTAAAGACATTTATGTCACTTTTTGACATTTTGCCACAGGGTTAGTCAGTCACAGCAGTTAGTCAGAGAGAAAATCAGATAAACTCGAACCAAACTGTGTAGATACATGGATTTATGAACAAGAAAGGCGCTATAAAGTCGTCGTGACGCATTTTAACGGCTGAGACTGGAGTAAAAACGGGACACACAAAAATAGACGAGAACGCTGAAACGATAGAAAATTACCCAATTCACGGCGTCCCGTTTTTATACTAGACGCATTTAACGTCTAAGACGTTAAAGTCGTCTGTTAAGGGTCTGAAGGACGCACTTAACAGAAGATGTTAATGTCGTCTGACGTTAAATACGTGTCTTATTTACTGTTTTTCTACTATAACGTCTCTAGCACAAAAAGTTAAAATTTAATCGAAGGTTTGTGTTGTTGTTTGCACTTCAGTCCAAACCAGACCGCAATTTACCTCCTTTATTAATTGATACTAATTGCTTGCCTTAAAAAATGTACAAGAATTTATGTCTTTTATAGATCACCTTATGACCATATGCTAGAACACAAAATGCTTTCACGCTTATAAAGTATACATTACCCCCAAATGGACGCTGTTTCTAATAAATCCCATCATTTTCCCATCATTTTTCGTAATCGAGAAATGACGCTTGTTACTTCAGCATCTGCTGGGTATCTAGCCTGCTCCAGGCTCCAAAATAATAGCACAGTCGTGCAGTAAAAAGTGATGTAAAAAACGCACGTCTTTTCGCGACATCCCTACTATCTGAGGGCCTGGCACAGGCTACTCGGTAACTTTCGCAACTTCTTAGATTCAGACACCACTTTCCACAAATATCGTTTCAGTGAAACTGAATGAGCGAGAAACAACATATGAAAAACAAAATTCGCTTTGATTTTCGAGCCAAACTGAAAGCATTTGCTCCGCGGGGAGCATGAAGCTTGACACGTGCAGAAATACACCCTGAGTTGTGAAGAACTTGTGGATCGTCTCTCTTTGGCAATAATGTTTTAGACTGTCAGTCGAGAAATGGCCTTACCGTCTTTGAATTTATCCATCCCTAGGCATAATTAGCCGGATTTTCTGCGTAAAACGAATCCCTTCTGATATTCACGAATTGAAAACGATACATCAAGAAGATAAAAGGTTATTAAAAACAAAAAACAAGCAAAATGACTGTATGTGTTATATCACAGGTCAAACTTGATTTCAGGTTAATTTTGATATAACCTAATAGGTTAACTTTCAGTCTCAATTGTCTCCTAGCCCTAGAAGACAAAGGAAATTGAGAATCAACCAGGTTAAAAAATTTTACGTGACCTGAAATCAAATTTGACCTGTAACATGTACATCATACCTTTCCCTACGCATGTAAAGTAACTAAAACCAGCAAAGGTTAATGATGTGCGGGGTAATTTCACATACAGTAAAAAACCCGCCACTAAGAACCTGCATTTTCCCAAGTTAGCCTAAACGGTTCTAACATAAATGGTAATTAGCACAACCTTAGGTTATTTAGGTTCTCAAATAAGTTCTTATTTTCTGAAGAAGAAAAAAAATACATTGTATAGCTTAGAGCATTAAGTGGTATTTACCTTATTCCTTATATAAAATCTGCATACCATTGCATTGCAATTGGAGTGATAAGGCAGCGATGTCTCCAAAGAGGAAACTGAATGCTGACTTTTCTTATTTGCCAATCGTACAGAATTTTTTTGTAGACTTTAGAAAATAGGAACCTGTTTCAAATCTTAGGCTAGACAGGTTCTTGTATAGAGTGAGCCTAACAGGTACTTTTTTAGCCTAACCAGTTCTTAATAAACAGGTTCTTAGTTGCGGGTAAGCGTATGTTTTACAGGTGGCTGTATTACCAAGTTGTACCTCTATTAGCTTCAAATTTGCGTCGACCTTTT